CTGGACTCCAGGCTGGGTAACAGAGCAAAACCCTGCCTCAAAAAAAAAAATCAAACAAAATGGACTGAAGACTTAAATCTAAGACCTCAAGCTATGAAATCACTATAAGAAAACATTGGGGAAAATATCCAAGATATTGGTCTGTGCAAAAATTTCTTGAATACCCCACAAACACAGGCAAACAAAGCAAAAATGGACAAATGATATCACAACAAGTTAAAAAGCTTCTGCACAGCAAAGGAAGCAATCAACAAAGTTAAGGAGACAACCCACAGAGTGGGAGAAAATATTTAAAACTACCCATCTGAACAGGATTAAAAACTAAAATATCTAAGGAGCTCAAATCACTCGATAGGAAAAAAAAAATCTAATGATTTGATCCAAAAAATGGGCAAAAAAAGGCCACAGTGGCTCGCACTGGTGATCCCAGCACTTTGGGAGGCCAAGACAGAAGGATCACTTGAACCCAAGAGTTCGAGATCAGCATAGGCAACATGACAAAACCTCATCTCTACAAAAACTACACAAATTAGTCAGGTGTGGTGGCACTCACCTGTGATCCCAGCTACTTGGGAGACTGAGGTGAGAGGATGGCTTGAGCCTAGGAGTCAGAGGTTGCAGTGAGCTGAGGTCATGCCACTGCCATCCAGCTTGGACAACAGAACCATACTTTATCTCAACAACAAAAAAGAAGGCAAAATATTTGAATAGACATTTCTCAAAAGAAGGCATACATATGGCAAATAGTTACATGAAAAGGTGAAAAGATTAATATCATTGATCATCAGAGAAATACAAATAAAAACTACAGTGAGATATCATCTCACCCCAGTTAAAATGGTTTGTATCCAAAAGACAGGCAATAACAAATGCTGGCTAGAACAAGGAGAAAAGGGAACCCTCGTACACTATTGGTGGGAATGTAAATTAGTACAGCCACTGTGGAGAACAGTTTGGAGGTTCATCAGAAAACTAAAACTAGAGCCACCATATGATCTAGCAATCGCACTGCACTCCACGTTTGTTGCAGCACTGTTTACAATAGTCAAGATTTGGAAGCAACTTAAGCACCCATCAACAGACAAATGAATGAGGAAAATGTGATATTTGTACACAATGGAGTACTATTCAGTCATAAAAAAGAATGAGATCTGTCATTTGCAGCAACATGGATGGAACTGGAGGTTATTACAGTAAATGAAATAAGCTGCCTGGCGTGGTGGCTCACGCCTGTAATCCCAGCACTTTGGGAGGCCGAGGCGGGTGGATCACCTGAGGTCAGGAGTTCAAGACCAGTCTGACCAACATGGTGAAACCCCATCTCAAAAAAAGAAAGAAAGAAGCCAGGCACTGAAAGAAAAACATCACATGTTCTCACTTATTTGTGAGATCTAAAAAATGAAAACAATTGAATTATTGGAGATAGAGAGTAGTAGTTACCAGAGGCTGGGAAGGGTAGTTGGGTGGGGAGGTAGGGATGGTTAATGGGTACTAAAAAAATAGCTAGAAAGACTGAATAAGACCTAGCATTTGGTAACACAATAGGGTGGCTATAGTCAATAATAACTAAATTGTACATTTTACAATAACTAAAAGGGTGTAATTGGATTGTTTGTAACACAAAGGATAAATGCTTGAGGCGATAGATACCCCATTTTCCATGATATGATTACTACACATTGCATGCCTGTCTCAAAACATCTCATGTATCCCATAAATATATATACTCGCTATGTACCCACAAAAATTAAAAATTAAAATAATTTTTAAAAGAGGTGAGAAGGCCAGGCATGGTGGCTCACACCTATAATCCTAGCACTTTGGAAGCTGAGGCAGGTGGAGTGCTTGAGCCCAGGAGTTCAAGACCAGCCTGGGCAAGATATCTCATCTCTAAAAAAAATACAAAAATTAGCTGGGCATGGTAGCATGTGCCTGTGGTCCAAGCTACTCGGGAGGCTGGGAAGCTAAGGTCGGAGGACCGCTTGAGCCCCAGGAGGTGGAGGTTGCGGTGAACCAAGATCACACACTACATTCCATCCTAGGTGACAAAGTGAGAGCCTGTCTCCAAAAAAAAAGTGGAATTAGTTTCCCACCACTTGAATCTGGCTGTACTGTTACTTACCTTGACCAGTCAATTGCAAGGGAAGTGACCCTGTGACACATATAGGTGTAGGCTTTAAGAGGACTAGCAACTTCTGCCACCACATAAATAGATCTGGCCAACCTGTTGGAGAGACCTCATGGAGAGAGAAAGAGAAATCCCAGAACGTCCCTGCCAATGTCCCAGGCACGTGGGTGAAGCCAGTTTGGATGTTCCTGCCAAGCTCCTAGCAGAATGCAGCCACAGAAATGACCCCAGTCAACATGAAATGGAAGAGAAGAACTTCCACGTTGAGCCCAGCCAATCACGGAATCATGAGAAATAACAAATTATCGTCTTAAGTCACAGTTTTGGGGTACTTTGCTATATAACAACAGATAACTGACACACTAAAATCATTTGCAACATTTAGTCTGATGTTATTAACAATTTCCTCTCAGGATGCATGTACAGTTTCAAGGATGTTTTCTTTGTCCTTCTATGAAAAATTCCCAGTTACAATGTTATGTTCTATTTAGATTTAACTGTATTATTATTACTCTTTATTTTTATTTTCTTCTATCTTGAAAACTAGTTAAGAGTACTTTTTCAATTACTTTTCTCAGATAAAGTTATGGATGATACACTGCCTGAATCCCTGATTATCACTTAGAGACTAAATTTCTATAACAAAGAAATCCCCAAATGCAATAGCTCAAGTAAAATCGAAGTTTATCTTTCTCTCATGTTGCATTTCTGAGCATTGATTTAGGACATTTGCAGTTATGCTGCTACACAATCATTTATAGACATAGTATTCCCCCATCTTGTTTCTCCACCATTGAAACTGAGTCACAGGCACATCTTCCTGAGAGTGTGAAGAAGGCACACACTGGTCTTAAGTCACTGGGCTCAGAAATGGTACATAATCTATTCTCTTAGAGACAGATCACATTCTATTAGCTTAGTCCATGTAGCCATGTCTACACTGGGGGCTGGGAAATAGAATGTCATGTTAGACCATTCTAATTCCACAGGAAAGGAGAAGATTGAATTTTACTGGAAGATTAACCATCTCCCTAACATCTTATACAGTATTTCCAAAACTGTCATCAATTTGCCCAAGAATGATAGCTATGTATAAGGTTCTTGGATTTTAGTTTATATCATAGTACTGTAGAAGAGAAACACAAATCTAGTCTAATTCTCTTTCCTTTGTAAGTAAAATGTTCTTTGTCATGCCTGGAATTATATAAGCCTTTTTTCTTTTTTTGTTTCAGTTAGAATTTTCTCCAGTTACTATTCACCCACCCTGCACTATGCTCAGGAACTGGAGAACTGCCTATCACTTTCCAGCAACTTTTTTTTTTTAGATGAAGTATTGCTCTGTCACCCAAGCTGGAGTGCAATGGCACAATCTCTGCTCACTGCAACCTCCACCTCCCAGGATCAAGCGATTCTCCTGCCTCAGCCTCCAGAGTAGCTGGGATTACAGGTGCATGCCACTACACCCAGCTAATTTTTTTGTATTTTTAGTAGAGACGGGGTTTCACCAAGTTGGTCAGGCTGGTTTCAAACTCCTGACCTCAAATGATCCGCCCACCTTGGCCTCCCAAAGTGCTGGGATTACAGGTGTGAGCCACCACACTCAGCCTTAAAAGCACTTCATAACCCAATATGTTATTTTTTTTTTCAGCAAAACTTAGTCATTCTTTCTCCTAAATAGAGTAAATAAAAACTAAAAGTAGCCTCACATCAGTTCTGATCAGGCTTTGCTGCTATAACAGTCCAGATCTGGTCATATTATGTCACCAACTGAATTACGAAAAACTTTCCTTTTTAGAGCCTTTCAAATTTCAGGACTGTTAAGTAAGAGGCTGTGGATCTGTAAATTTAGGTTTAAACTTTTCCTACTTTCTAGTAAAGTTTCTGTTTATGACGTTAAGAATCAAGGAAAAGGTTTTGTTAACATGCACTTTGCATCACCCCTTTTCTGGCAATTTGGGAGCACCACCTTGAGTCTGCATATGTGGCTTAAATAAGGTGGAAATTTATTTCTCTCTTACATAGAAGTTCACAGGTTGTTGGTATGGCAGATCCATAGATATCAGAAAAGTACAAATTATATGCATAAAATTCCATGAATTATTATAATTGTTGATATTACTGAGACAAAGTCTGGCTCTGTCACCCAGGCTGGAGTGCAGTGGCACAATCTCAGCTCACTGCAACCTCTGCCTCCCAGGCTCAAGTGATCCTCCTGCTTCAGCCTCCTGAGTAGCTGGGACTACAGGCATGCACCACCATGCTCAGCTAATCTTTGTATTTTTGTAGAAACAGGGTCTCACTGTGTTGCTCACACTAGTCTTGAACTTCTGAGCTCAAGCGATTCATCTGCCTCAGCCTCCCAAAGTGCTGGGATTACAGGTGTGAGCCACCACATCTGGCCAGCTCCGTTAATTATTACAAAGCAAATACAGTATTTTAACTATTAACCAGACCAAGATATAGGGCATTACTAGCCCTCCGTAATGCCTACTTCTGAGGAAATGAACTTTGGAATCCTTCTATGAGTGCTACATGTCATGTCATGTCATGTCATGTCATGTCATTGAGACAGGATCTTGCTCTTCACCCAGGCTGGAGTATACAGTGGTGCAGTCATAGCTCACTGAAGCCTGAAGCTCCTGAGCTCAAGTGATCTTCCCACACCAGCCTCCTGAGCAGCTGGGACTATAAGAATGCCCTACCATGCCCAGCTAATTTTTTTTAAAAACTTTTGTAGAGACGGGGTTTCATGACCTTTCCCAGGCTAGTAATGATAAATTTTAAATTGGGAAGATAAATAGTCTTCTGTCAACCAGATGAGGGGGCGGACTTCGGGGAAAATTGGGGAACAATGGTGCCAACATGAAGTCACATGACCCATAGCAAGACCAGACAGGAACCTGAAAATAGAAGCAAAAGGGTCCAGCTTTGCATCGTGACAAAACCAGCTCCAACACCAAACTTCTGGGTTCAGGACAGAAAAACAGGTCAGTGCGAGGGCTGTACCCAGAGGCGTCTGGTGAAGAGTCGGGCAGTGAATATGAACTATCCCAGGAACATGAGCCCACACAGGAAACAGTTCAGTCAATATTCTCAGCATGCCTCCACTCTAGGCTTATTTCAACCTTCAGAGATTTGATGCAGAGTCCCTTCCTCAATCCAGAATAAGGACAAAGGCATCCATGGAATTACATGGACTGAAGTCCTGGTTGGGCCTGGACCACATGCTGGTATCAGACCTAAGAAAAACTTGCTTGCTACACTTTCTCAGTAGCTACCATCTGACTGCCTTAGGCTCTCCCTCTCTCCAGCAGAGAGAGCAATACCCAGTCACTGCCCCCACCCACAAACACTCTGGTCATGCCCTAATTCTGTGGGGCCAGAACTGGTTCAGAGTCTAATTCAGAAATTGCTGATTCCCAGAGACCACAGAGATATCCTCACTCACTCACTCTCCCTCAGCCTTGATCATAGGTCTCCCACCCATGGCCAGACCTGGCCCAGCTCCTCAGCTCTGCACACACCTGCACACACTGGCCCGGCATCCTCAGACTGGACCTACTCTGGCCTTGATTCTCACCCTCACCTCCAGCTGTTGCTCCACAGGCCTCAGAAGTGAGGTCACTTTCATTTTTCTTCCTTGACATCAGTCCTTGACGCATTCTGTCTGCTGGGCTTCTCTGCCCTTGGCATTTCCTTTTCTCTGGTTCTAGGAGGAGGAAGACGATTTCCCCCATGGGTCCCAGAATTCCTTTGTGGGATTAAATTGTCCTTATGTGACTCAGAAACCACCAGACTGTCCCTGTTATCTGACCTCTAGGAATAGAACTTCTTTTTTGTAACTCTGCTGGCCAGAAAGGGTCTCAGGAGGCTCTCTCTGGGACTTCCCCTGCTGGTCCTCTGGTGCTTTACTTGCCTCTAAATTGAGCATGTCCTATAAATGAAATGGGTTTCTTCTTTAAAAAATAAGCTTATAACAGCTTTCTTGAGATACATTTCACATGCCATACAATTCACCCATTTAAAGGGTACGATTCAATAGCTTTTTTATATTCACAGAATTGTGCAGCCATTACCACAATTGATATTAGAACATTTTCATTGCTTAAAAAAAAAAAAAATTAGCAGTCACTCCCCATTTCCCACTGACCCCTAGGCAACTACCAATCAACTTTCTGTCTATATAGAATTGTCTGTTCTGAACATTTTGTATGAGTGAAATCAAACAATATGTGGTCCTTTGCAACTAGCTTTTTTCACTTAGCATCATGTTTTCAAGATTCATCCATGTTGTAGAAGTATTAGTATTCCATTTTTGGGGGGGGTCTGTTTTTTTGTTTTGTTTTGTTTTGTTTTTGAGATGGAGTCTTGCTCTGCACCCAGGCTGGACTGCAGTGGCGCAATCTTGGCTCACTTCAACCTCCGCCTCCCAGGTTCAAGCAGTTCTCCTGCCTCAGCCTCCCAAGTAGCTGAGATTACAGGAGCAAACCACTGTGCCCAGCTAATTTTTGTATTTTTAGTAGAGATGCGGTTTCACCATGGTGGTCAGGCTGGTCTAGAACTCCTGACTTCCAGTGATCCACCTGCCTCAGCCTCCCAAAGTGCTGGGATTACAGGCACCTAGCCTCTTTTTATTGCCAAATAATATGGATGGATTACCATATTTTATTTATCAGTTGTATGGATATACCACATTTTTATTTATCTATTCACCATTGATGGGCATCTGGGTTGTGTCCACCTTCTGGCTTTTATGAAAAATGCTGCTATGAACAGTCACATACAAACTTTTGTGTGGGCATGTTTTCATTTCTCTTAGCTACATACATATGAGTAACATTGCTGGGTTATATGGTAACTCTATGTTTAACCATTTGAGAAACTGCCATACTGTTTTCCAAAGTGAATGTACCCATTTGACATTCCCTCTAGCAGTGAATGAGAGTTCCATTTTCTCTTTGTCCTCAAAAACATTTGCTATCATCTCTATTTTTTATTATAGCTATCTTGGCACAGAGAGGTATCTCTCTCTCTCTGTGGTTTCAATTTGCATTTCGCTGTAGCTAATGATGTTGAGCATCTTTTCATGTGCTCTTTGCCCAACTGTGTATGTTCTTTGGAGAAACGTCTATTCATATTCTTTGCCCATTTTTTATTGGTTTATTTGTCCTTCTATTAATGAGCTGTTAGAGTTCTTTTTTTTTTTTGAGTCTCACTCTGTCACCCAGGCTAGAGTGCAGAGGTGCCATCTCAGCTAAATGCAACCTCCGCCTCCCAGATTCAAGCCATTCTGGTGCCTCAGCCTCCCAAGTAGCTGGGATTACAGGCATGCACTACAGGCCCAGCTAATTTCTGTATTTTTCATGGAGATGGGGTTTCATCATGTTGGCCAGGCTGGTCACAAACTCCTGACCTCAAGTGATCCTCCCACCTTGACCTCCCAAAGTGCTAAGATTACAGGTGTGAGCCACCATGCCCAGCTGAGATGTAAGAATTCTTTATATATTCTGTATACAAGTCCCTTATCAGATAAAGAATTTGCAAAACTTTTATTCCATTCTTTAGGTTTTCTTTTCACTTTGTTAATGGTGTCCTTTAAAGCACAAAAGTTGGCCAGGTGCAGTGGCTCATGCCTGTATTTCCAGCACTTTGGGAGGCCAAGGCAGGTGGATTACCTGAGGTCAGGAGTTCAAGAACAGCCTGACCAATGTGGCAAAACCCTGTCTCTACTAAAAATACAAAAATTAGCTGGGTCTGGTGGCACATGTCTGTAATCCCAGCTACTTGGGAGGCTGAGGCAGGAGAATTGCTCAAACCTGAGAACTGGAGATTGCAGTGAGCCGAGGTGGCACCACTGCACTCCAGCCTGGATAACAGAGTGAGACTTTTATCTCAAAAAAAAAAAAAAAAAAGCACAAAAGTCTTTAATTCTAATGATGTGCAATTTATCTACTTTTTCTTTTGCTGATTGTGATTTTGGTGTAATATCTAAGAAACCACTTTCTAATCCAAGATTATAGAGATTTATGCCTATTTTGTTTTCTTCTAAGATTAGTATAGTTTTATCTCTTACATTTAAGTCTGTGATCCATTTTGATTTAGTTTTCTGTATGGTGTGAGGTAGGGGTTTGGTTTTTTTGTTTGTTTGTTTGTTTCTTTTGTTTTCTTTGAGACAAAGTGTTGCTCTTGTTGCTCAGGCAGGAGTGCAATGGTGCAATCTCGGCTCACCACAACCTCTGCCTCCCAGGTTCAAGCAATTTTCCTGCCTGAGCCTCCCTAGTAGCTGGGAATACAGGCATGCGCCACCATGCCCAGCTAATTTTGTATTTTTAGTAGAGATGGGGTTTCTCCATGTTGATCAAGCTGGTCTCAAACTCCTGACCTCAGGTGATCTGCCCATCTCAGCCTCCCAGAGTGCTGGGATTACAGGCATGAGCCACCACGTTTGGCCCATTCTTTTGCATATGGATATCCAGTTGTACCATCATCACTTGTTGAAAAAGATCTTCTTTCCCTAACTGAATTGCCTTGGCATCCTTGTAAAAATGAATTGACTGTAAATGTGAGGGTTTATTTATGGACTCTCAATTCTATCCTATTTGTATATCTGTCTTTCTTTATGCCAGTACCATGTTGTCTTAATTACAGTAGTTTTGTAGAAAGTTTTGAAATAAGAAAATGTGAGTCTTCTAACTTTGTTCTTTTTATTCAAGATGGCTTTGGCTATTCTGGGTCCCATGCATTTCCACACGAATTTTAGGATCAGCTTGTCCCTTTCTGCAAAGAAGCTAACTGTGATTTTGGTCAAGATTTTTTTTTCTTAATTCAGCATTCCTCATTTCTGTCCTCTAAAAGAGAAGACTCTGCTGCCATAGTGTGTCTTTTTGTTCTACTTTCCCAATGATTTCCCAACACTTTTATTAAATTTCTCTTTTCTTTCTTTTTTCCTTTTTTTTTTTTTGAGAGAAGATTTCACTCCCACTGTCCAGGCTAGAGTACAGTGGTGCAATCTCAGCTCACTGCGGCCTTAATTTCCCAGGCTCAAGCAATTCTTCCATTTTAGCCTCCCAAGTAGAGGGGACTACAGGCACATGCTACCATGCCCAACTAATTTTTTTTTTTTTTTAATAGAGACAGGGTTTCATCATGTTGCTCAGAATGGTCTCAAACTCCTGAGCTCAAGCGATCCCCCTGCCTTGGCCTTCCCAAGTGCTAGGATTACAAGTGTGAGCCACTGCACCCAGCCTATTCTATTAAATTTCTAATGTCAGCTACTGTATTTTTAATTTCCAAGAGCTCTTTCTTACTCCCTTATTCTGTTTTATTCTTCATACCATTGCTTCTTGTTTTATACATAAAACTTATCTTAATTCTTTCGGTATATTAATTAATGTTGGTGAGCTTTTTAAGTAATTTTCTTAAATAATTTTTTGTTTCTTATATTCTCCTTGCTTACTCCAGGTTTCTTTTTCCTGCTTATTAATAGTTTTAGTCTCTTTCTCACTTTTAAAGTTTTCTCAAATATCTATGATCCTTGCTGCTTTATTCATTTTAGTAAAGCACATGGAGAAGTGAACTCCACTGGCTTTATCACTGAGGGATCTCCAAATGACCCATCTAAATATCTTTATTCTAGAGTCATTCAGTTTCTCCAGAGAAGAATCTTTCAATGCTGCTTGTGAGCCTGGATGAAAGCACACACACACACACACACACACACACACAAAAAGAATCCTTCAAGTTCTTGCCTTATGACCACAGATCTGAGAACAACATGGGGGAAGAGGGCTGCAATCCCTATCACACTGTAGACTTTCACTCTTTTCATTCCCTAGTCCCCCTATTTTCATCCCTACTCACCGTCTCTACTCTCTGTCATGCCAGATATCCCCAGACATGAAGTCTCTCTGGTTGTTTCTCCAGAATGAAGGAGTCTGGCGTGGGTTGTTGTGTGGCTGTAATGGATGCTGGGGAGATTACTGAGGGATCTAGCTCTTCCACATTTAGAGTTTCTACCAATTCCTTTGTTTTCATCCCAATGTCACCACTCATCCTCTGAGATGCCTAATCCCTCTGCACCTTGAGCCTTTCTGGAGTTCTATGGAATGGATTGACTTTCTTCTAAGGATACCCCACCTCTGCAGGTACCTAGTAGTTTTCACCTTGTGTAAGTTTTCAGTCTTCAAAAATGTGTTGAACTCTTCCTTTCTTTGGTATCTCCTTTCCCATTCTTCTTGCTCTTTTATATATATATTAATTCCTTTAATGTCATTTTAGTCAGGTTTCAGAAGGAAGATGTTTTGTTTTTGTTTTGTTTTGTTTTTTTAGATGGAGTCTTGCTTTGTCGTTCAGGCTGGAATGCAGTGGCATGATCTTGGCTCACTGCAGCCTCCACTTCCTGGGTTCAAGTGATTCTCTTGCCTCAGCCTCCTGAGTAGCAGGTACTACAGACACATGCCATCATGCCTGCCTAATCTTTGTATTTTTAGTAGACATAGGGTTTTACCCTGTTTGACAGGCTGGTCTGAAACTCCTGACCTCAGGTGATCCACCTGCCTTGGCCTCCCAAAGTGCTGGGATTACAGGTGTGAGGCACCGCACCCACCCAGGAAGACATTTTAAATCAGAATTTGGATCTTGTCAATTCTACTATCAAATACTTGTCACTATTTTTATTTTACTTCCTTTTTTTTTTTTTGAAACAAAGTCCCACTCCATCACTCAAGCTGGAATACAGTGGCAGTATCACAGCTCACTACATGCTCAACATTCCTGGCTCAGATGATCCTCCCACCTCACCCTCCCAAATATCTGGGACTACAGGCATGTGCCACCATATCCGGCTAATTTTTCTGTTTCATAGAGTCTCACTATGCTACCTAGGCTGGTCTTGAACTCCTGGACTTAAACAATCCTTTTGTTTCAGTCTCCTAAAGTGCTAGGATTATAGGTGTAAGCCACCACACCCAGCCAATTTTACTTTCTGAAGGGAGCCAAGGAATCCATGTGGAAGACGTCATCTCCTGCCATTGTGCCAAACCAGAAAATAGGCCTGTCGTTACTGAAGTGTGGATCCCAGGAGGAATGTTGATCCTATGCCTGATGAAATTCAAGGTTTCAGGTAGTTTATGAGTCCTGTACACTATTCCCGTACACTCCCAGGATGCATCCCATGGAGGGGCAGGAAGGGCTCTGGGGAGGATTGAAGAGGGCCCAGACCCTCCTAACACCCTGTGTTAGTGGATGATGGGAGGCTTTCTTTCCAAGGCTTCTCTATTTCCTCTTGGAAAGCAAGATTCTGTGGCACTGGTGAGGTGTCTGCCTTCCTGCCTGCCTGCCTACTGGTTTTCCTTTTGGCCTAAAAGCTTCTCTCTGTGCCTCACTTCCCAAGTCCCTCTCAATTTCTAGGATATTGGTCTGGGCCTCAGAGCCCCCTCCCTCCTTTCCCTCTGCTATATTAGCCTTGCTGGGTTAGGGGTGATTAAGAATTTAATTATTTTGTTTCTTCATCTTAGAAGATTAATCCTATCCATCACAGGCAAGCTAGGCCTTCTCTTGTTCCTCTCTCAGGGCTACCTAGCCAATCCCAAGGGGAAGGAACTCCATGGCTCTCTGGGTCTGGGGGCAATGGATGAAGTTTTAGTTAGGGTGAGGGGGTGTGTATCAATTTATACAAGTGAGTGTTTGTTTAGTGTTGAGTATAGGTTTTAACGTGTTTGTCTGTGACGACATTCAAGCCTTTTGGTTTTCAGGTCAGAGGAGGCCAAGGTGCAACTTTCTTCCATCATCTCACATCCAGGTACCTCTGACACCAGCCACCTCCACCTTACTGCCTAAGTTCAACCCCAACAAGATTAATGTTGCAAACCTGAGGTACGCCAGTGGGGAAGTCAGAGCCATGTCTTCCCTGGCCCCCAAGATCAAGCCCGTGGGTCCATCTCCAAAAAAGTTTGGCAGTAACATCACCAAGCTAATGGGTGACTAGAAGGGTTTGAGGATTACAGTGACATTGACCCTTCAGAACAGACAGACCCAGGTTGAAGTGGGACCTTTTGCCTCTGTTCTGACGTTACAGTAGGTAGCTAGTCTGGTATGAGCAGAGCAGGAAAGGGCTCCCACACACACCCAGAGTGCCGGGGGACCAGCAGGTGATGGTCAGGCAGTTGTTAACTGTTTCTCTAAAGTAATAATTGGTCACAACCAGCGCCAGAGAGAGGTAGCCTCCTAGTAGATAGAAACACCTGAAATTGATCAGCAGCTTCCCAGTACAATCTCAGGGTTGGGGAGAAATAAGGCAAGATTCCAGCAGTATGCCAATGTATAAAACCCCAAGTCAAGAGGTCAAGCCGCACGCTTGATTTCTCAAGTCACCCACTTGCCCTATTCCAAGTTGCACTTTCTTCCTTTCTTTACTGTCCTAAAGCTTTTTAATAAAGTTTCACTCCTGCTCTGAAACTTGCCTTGGTCTCTCCTTCTGCCTTATGCCCCTCAGTTAAATTTTTTCTTCGGAGGAGTCAAGGACTGAAGTTGCTGCAGACCTGTTTGGATTTGCTGCCGGGGTAACTCAGATACCTGCCACCAGTAACACTGATCCTCTAAGCCCTCAAGGAACTTCCAAGACATAGAAAGAAACAGAAAAATATTAAACACAGTGGAAATGTCACTTTTGATGAGATAATCAACATTGCCCAACAGGTGTGGCACCACTCTTTGGCCAGAACCATTAAAGAGGTCTTGGGGATTGCCCAGTCTGTGGGTTGCAATATTGATTGTCAGCCACCCTCAGGACATCATAGATGACATCAACAATGGTGCAGGAGAATGTTCCACTAGTTAAAATGTACCAAAAAAAAATTTCAATGAAAGATCATTTGGGCCAGGCTCGGTGGCTCATGCCTATAATCCCAGTACTTTGGGAGGCCCAGGTGGGCAGATCACGAGGTCAGGAGTTCGAGACCAGCCTGGCCAACATGGTGAAATACCATCTCTACTAAAAATACAAAAAATCAGCTGGGCATGGCAGCACATGCCTATAATCCCAGCTACTCAGGAGGCTGAGGCAGGAGAATCACTTAAACCCAGGAGGCAGAGGTTGTAGTGAGTAGAGATCATGCCATTGCACTCCAGCCTGGGCAACAAAGCAAGGCTTGATCTCAAAAAAAAAAAAAGATTTATTTCAACATGTATATACAGGCGGGTGATTATGTAAGTTTTATGTGATTTTTTTTTTTTATTGTTTTAGAGACTTAAAGACTTTAGAGACTTTAGAATCTTACTCTGTTGCCCAGGCTGGTCTTGAACTCCTGACCTCAAGCAGTCCTCTCACCTTGGCCTCCCAAAGTACTGAAATTACAGGTATGACCCCCTATACCCAACCAGTTTTTTGTCATTTAAATTGTTGTGAATATGTATTTGCATGCAAGGGTTAGAAGGAATAGAGGCTGATTAGCCTGTGACATTATCTTGAGTGTCCTCCGGGCAGCCTTAACCTCAATAAGACAGATAGGTAATCTTCTGAGTCTTTGCATCTCTGGTACCAGTCCTATATTCTTCCAAACTCTTGGATTTCAGAGTTGCAATGCACCTTGGTGATTACATGATCTGGGGCTTGTGCAGTGCTTGAATCCCCACTGCAGCATTCTTAAAGGAGTCTCCAGCCTCTCTTGGCATAGTTTTCAATACAGGAAGTTAACTTCTTCCTTGCAACTCCTTCCACAGAGAACAACTTAGCTGTCATGGAAGTTCTGATGATAAAACCTGGCCCAGCCAAAAAAAGTATTTCCTTTCTCTCTCTCTTGCCCTCACCCTTACTTATATAATTCAGCTGTAGGGTGCCACCCTTCCTTTTCTAGATCATTGAATCTCAAGTCATTGAGTATTGTTAAGCCAGAGCTGGTGCTGAGCACTGGATACATATAGATGAATGAAATAAATGTTGGCCTTTAAAGTTCACACCCTAGTAGAGAGACAAACATGGGGGAAAAACTATTAACAAGAATAGAGGAGGGATTGATTAACTTGGCCAAGGGAAAGAGAAATGGCTTTCAGGAAAAATTCCTGGAGGAAGGAAGACCTCTGCACTAAGTCAGAGGGCAAAGGCAGGCAGAAGTAGCACCCAGTCTGTGCTGCCTCCTTGCACCTCCTCTCCTGCTGTGGCCTCAGCTCTCAAATCTCTTTTCTCCTGCTAAGTCCAGAAATCCACAAAGGAGGGGCTTGGACATCCCTGAGGCTGAAGCAAGGTCAGGCAGAGTTTCAGACAGAGCTGAAGGGTGGGAGGTGGCACCACATGAACTGAGCAGTCAGCCAACCAGCCAGCCTTTGTGGGGCCTCATAGGGCCCAGCCTGTGCCTAACCGTCCTATGAGAGAGGCCCAGAAGGAGGAGACCAGCCCTGGTGCTTGAAGCCCCTGTCCTAGCTCACCCAGATAGCTTACGGGACAGTGTGCTAACCCAGCAGGCAGTCCCAAGCTCTGGATCCACCTGGAACGGAGGGTAGGAAAGGCCATGGGCCTGGCTGGGATGAACAGCTCCTGCCCAGTGGACACTTGCATGACCTTGAGCCCCTAACTACTGTTCTCTGGCAGTCCTGGCAGACCTAAGCCTGTCAGCGCCCTCAGAAGCCAGGGCACACCTTGGACTCGATGGTCATATCAGCCTAGTCCAACACTAGTCATGGATTCTTAGACAAGACAAGTCTCTGGGGCACTAGGAAGGAAGAAAAGAAGGAAGCAAGTGAGTTCCTACTGTACCAGGTATCATGCTGGGTGCTTCACACAGATTAATCTTTTAATCCTCACCATAACTCAACTTCAGCATGTTCAAAAGAAGGATACACACTACTAAACTGTTAACATTTAAATGTGATGGGGAGAATATTAGGGGACTTTGTTTCAATGTTTAACCCAATCATGTATCATCAAAAATAAAGTAGTTCTAGCAGCCAAAACATTATCTGTCAATCAAGATAGATAGATAGATATAAAAATATACACATCTTATTTCTGATTTTTTTTTATTGAGACAGAGTCTAACTCTGTCACCCAGGCTGGAGTGCAGTGGCACGATCTCAGCTCACTGCAAGCCCCGTCTCCCAGGTTCAAGCTATCCTCCTGCATCAGCCTCCAAAGTAGCTGGGACTACAAGCATGCACCACCATGCCCGGCTAATTTTTTTGTATTTTTAGTAGAGATGGGGGTTTCACTATGTTGGCTGGGCTGGTCTTGAACAATTGACCTCATGATCTGCCCACCTCCTCCTCACAAAGTGCTGGGATTACAGGCGTGAACTACCTCACCCAGCCTTATTTTCCATCTTTATGTAAAGGGTCGTAAAGGGTCAATTGTTAGCATTCTGGCCCTGATTTCTGTCCACCTTGTCATTCTTACTTAGTTGAGGTAGTGACTTCTCTAAATGGAAAGTTTGGAAGGAGAAACATTGTGTGCAGTCCAGCCTCTTCCCCGTTTCTTTCTACTTAGAAGAAAGTTGTCAACAGGGAGCACTAGTTGTTCTTTGCTCTTTTCTGCCTTAAATCTCACAGGAGCAGACCTGTCATGTAATGAGGTTCTACCCTCCAGCCTAGCTTTTTCTAGTAATGAAGGTGATACTACCTTTTATTTGCCATTTCTATTGACTCTTATTTCTCAGTTGGTTTGGAAGTGAGTGGAGAAGAGGAATGTTAATTATTGGGCTCCCTTTGAACTCCCAGTAGTACAGTGGAAAGTACACTGAAGCAGGAGATACCAGGACAGGTTTGTAATCCTAATTCTACCACTTAACCAGTTGTGCCCTTGGGCAAATCACTTGCCATTTAAGGCCTCAAATTCTTATCTCATAAATAAATCTAAATTCTTGGTTAGCAACAGAAACCATGTGTGGTTATTTTAAGCCAAAAAGGGGAATGTGTGATAAGGATACTGATGGGTTGTCAAATGATGAGAAAATAAAATAAAAGGTTTAGACAATAGACAGAACCAGAGACCCCCAAGATCTGTCAGCAAGGACAGCTTGATCCACATCACTGCTAATGCTAAAATAAACCTTATGCCAAACATCCTGTCTTTTAATCTGGGTAAGAATAAATGGGACCGGGCGCGGTGGCTCATGCCTGTAATCCCAGCACTTTGAGAGGCCAAGGCGGGCGGATCATGAGGTCAAGAGATCAAGACCATCCTGGCCAACATGGTGAAACCCTGTCTCTACTAAAAATACAAAAAAAGTGGCCAGGCGTGGTGGTATGCACCTGTGGTCCCAGCTACTCGGGAAGCTGAGGCGAAGAATCGCTTGAACCCAGGAGGCAGAGGTTGCAGTGAGCCGAGATTGCACCACTGCGCTCCAGCCTGGCAGCAGAGCAAGACTCCATCTCAAAAAATAAATAAATAAAAGAATAAATGGTAAAATAAGCCTTCCAAATCACAGAGCTTTTTTTTGTCTCACGCAACTGTCCAACATGGGTGCATCTGGTCTAGTGGCTTTCTTGGAAGCTCTCCTCCAGCCAGTATCTCAGGGACCCAGACTCCCTCTATCTTAATGGCTACGTGTTTCTCTGTATGTGGCATCCTCTCCATTGAGTCAATGGTTGGGAAAAGAGAGGGCAAAGATCAAATGTGGGAGGTTTTAACAGGTCAGGGCTCTTTTTTTTTTTAAGAGACAGGGCCTCACTTTATCACCCAGGCTAGAGTGCAGGGGTGCCATCATAGCTCACTGCTGCCTCAGACTCCTGAGCTCCTATGGTTCTTCAGCCTCAGCCTCTGGAGTAGCTGAGACTACAGGAACGTGCCACCACATTCAGCTAAGTTTTGTTGTATATTGTTTTGTTTTAAGAGACAGAGTCTTGCTCGGTCACCCAGCCTGGAGTGCAGTGGCATGATCCTGGCTCACCACAGCCTCAGACTCCTGGGTTCAAGCGATCCTCCCACTTTAGCCTCCTGCGTATCTGGGACCACAGGCACAAACCAATGGCTAATTTTTAAATATTTTTGAGAGATGGGGTCTCACCATGTTGCCCAGGCTGGTCTAGAATTCCTGGGCTCAAGCAGTCCTTCCACCACAGCCTCCTGAGTAGTTGGGATTATAGGCACAAGCCACTGCATCTGGCTTCTATCCACATTCTATTGTCCAGAACTCAGGACACAAGACCACAGCTAACTTGGAAAAAAAAAGTAGTCCATCTGTATGCCCAAGAAGATAAGGAAATAGGGTTTGCTGAACATTTGACGGTCTCTGTCACAATATTACAAGGTTCAAAGTTCTGAGAAGGATCATCTGATTGGACAAGTTTAGGTCACATGCTAACCTACTAGTTGTATCAGGAAAGAAATATAGGAGGGATCTGTTCCTCTTTACTTCCACTGTGACAGGCGGCAGTAAGAGGGAAGGCAGAAGAGTTGCTCTCACTCATAATGGAGAATGTCCCTAAACGGGAGATTAGGGTGTTTAGAGATAGGTGGAGACATAGATGCTAGACAGCTAAACAGCCCAAAATGAAAAATATTCAGTACATCTATAATCTACATATATTTTAAAAAACGAAGTTTCTGGCCAGGTGTGGTATAATCTCGCAC